GGCAGCTGGGTGCTCCTTGGTACTGGGGAGCAGCACTGCCAGCTGGCTGGCATTCTGCCCACGTGCGCAGGACTAAAAGGGAAGCAGGCAGGGCCTAAGCAAAATTGGACAATGGGCTCCCAGAACACCAAGGGGGCAGGGGCAGGGCTGTTCTCGGTCCCTGGGCGGAGTCTGGGGGTGGGGCTGGAGAGGGAGGGCCTGTGAGGGGCGGGGGCAAGCCGAGCACTTGGTGCAGGAGGTTCCTCCTCTGTGGTCCAGGTGCAGCTCAAAGGGGCAGCCCCGGGGAAGGGGGCAGGCAGGGCCCGGCTGTGGGCCCGGATCGCTGCGGTGCTGGCACTCACACCTGCGCCCGGACTCGTTCCTGTTCCTTCAGGGGGGATGCCTTTAGGTTAGGGCTGCGGCTTTCCGCCTTGGGAGTCCTTGTGTCCTGGGAGTTCCGCCTTTGTGTCCTGCCTTGTCCCCAACGCCAATGCCACTCAGCCGCGTGGATGGGCTGCTGGAGGGCAGGACATGCAGTGGCTGAGGAGCAGGAGCGCTAGAGAGAGGCAGAGGTGGGTCCTTGGCCCCCGTCCCTTTCTCGCGCACTCCACAGCCTTATCTGCCTGAGTCCTCAGGCAAGGTTTCCTCCTCCGAGAAGCAGGGAGAGTAGCTGTGTCCAGCTCTCCGGCTTGCTGGAGGATGAATGGAATGCAATGCCTGGACGCCCAGCATGTAGAAAGCACCCAGATACTTTGGCCATTATTACTTGCAGAATCCCTATGGCAACTGCCTGTGGAATCACTGGACTCTCTTCTGAAACGAAGAAAAAGTTAAGCCTTACAAAGGTAATATTTATCTCTGAGGTGAACTAGCGGGCCAGAAGGTCAGAAGGCCAGAAGGTCAGAAGGCAAAGATAAACAGGCAAAGGTAACGGACATTTCTCAGTGGCTTCCCAGGTGCCGCACGTGTGCCCTCTCATTTTACACTGCAGGTAACGTTTCTGAACGATCAGGCAGCCAGAAGTCAGACAGCTTGCTGGCACGTTAAAGAAACAAAAGAAACGCTCAAGACTGGAATGCCTACTGTGTCAAGACACCTACTTAGGAAACAACGTCACAGTGAATGAGTAGAGCAAGTCTCCAGTTCTGCCAGCAAAGTTAAAATAAACGTGCCAACAGGGGAATTGCAAAGCCGAGCCGATTATTGTCCTGGTGATTCCGCGGATGGCACACGCAGACTCAGAGTTTTGACAGAATTGGGCATGTGTTATGCCTTAATGTCATGCTAAACGGTGGTGCTTTCAGGCACACCTGTCATATCACCCGGAGAATCCTATTCCAATCAGAGATCTTCCTGTCAATTGAATTGGTCTAGTTATCACGAGGAAACATCCAGGTAAACTCAAGCTACCAAAAAAAAACCACGTAGACAATGACTAAGCAATGACACGGTGTTGGATTTATGTAAAGATTCTTTTTTTCTACTTGAGATATTTCACAAAGGGTGGGAGATGATCATCACACCAATTGTCTTCAACTTCACACTGGGATTCAGAAATCTCTTGTTACGAAGACAGTCAGTTTTCGTGTCATTCATTTATTCCAACTCTCACTTATTTTTCCATTCATTCAGCCACATGAGTTGATGATGTGCCATATCATAATGGGCAGAGGTGACATTAAAATGCCAAGTAGGAAATGGTACATTCCTTTATGGGACAATGTCTGTTAGGAAATAATATAGTGGCAAAGACTGGCGGTTATGTAAAAACCTGTAACTAGATTTGGGCGAGGATGGGGTGCCTGTGCTAAGAAGTTTGCAGATGACAGCTGCTGTGTAGAAGACAATGGTGCTGTCAAAGGACGCTGAGCCTGGGGACGTGCATTCCAGGAGCAAGTGATATGCAGGATGGAGTAAAGCTAGGAAGCCAGCTAGGAGGAGAGTGCGACTGCACTTCACGGGGTCCACTCTGACCCCCCGGGCTGCTTCATCACCCACTTCCTCCTCCCCCCACAGTGCTGCCACATTTCCTCCGCCTCCACCTTCTTGCTTGAAACTATTCTTGCTTAAGCCGTGAATGAACTTCCACCAGTCAGAGCCTAAAAAACACTCTCTAAGTCTTAGCTTATCAGAGCAGTTCTGTTCCGTTTGCATGGTCGGCCACTGACTCGAGCTGGAAACTTCTTCTCTGAAACACAGCCTCTTACTGGTTTATCTCTTACTCCTCTGACGGCTGCTGCTCTGATTCAGGCTTTTTATGACCTACCCTGGTGTTCTTAAGGTGCATCTGCAGCCCAGTTCTAATCTGAAACCTCCCTGGGAAATGTCATGCTTATTTGCAACTTCTACAGCTAAAATCCCTCCTCCATAGAAAATATGTTAATAAAAACTGAGAGTGGGGACTTTCTGGGGGGAGTTTTATCACTACAGTCGATGTCAGCGTTACAGTATAATGAGTCCTCTTCTACTCATCTCTACTGATCTGGGTTAAGATGAAGGCCTTGGGTCAGATAAACAATGTCCCCTCCTCTTTGCCCTTGTTGGAGCTGTGCTGGGGCCTCTTTGCATCCACAGTGGGACTACTGGATTGGTGGTTAAGAACGAGATGCAGGAAAAAAACGATGCAGGTGTCTAATCTTCTAGATGACTTGTTGCCAAGTGAAGATGTTTTAAAACAAAGACTCTGGTTTTGAACCACGTCTGGTTTTTCGAGAGGCGTGCTGGTCCTCTCTAGGCTCCTGCAGGGAGTTCTGGGCGGCTCCATGGAAGTTGGAACTTTACTTTGTTCACTTCTGTTTCCCAGGACTTAGAAAAGTGCCTGGCACAGACCAGAGACTCATAAACAGGTGTTGAGTGAATGAGCAGTTCTATCTGACTGGGGTCTGGGTGGGTATCCCCATATGTTCTTGGCTTATCAAGTCAGGGAAATAACAGGAACAAAAACTTTGGCTCAACTGCTGCGACCATGGATTCATAGAGTTTGGAAGAGATCTCTTTAGGATTTATCAGCTTCAAGTCATGTATAAACTTTTCACTGCATCTAAAAGACTCTAATCCTTTTGGGAGACCCAGGATTTGAAAGTTTTAACTATGAATGAGGTAAGATTGGGGAACATAATCAAGCAGGCATGGCCTGGCTGACTGTGAATACAGAAGCTCAGATCCAGACTGACACCTTTCTTTTCTCAGCTCTTCAGTTTCAGCACAAATGTCTTAAAATCCAGAGCTCACAGGCTCCTCTCTGACTGGATTTTGGCCATGACTTCTCACTGAGTTTCATTTAGCTTAAAAGCTCCAAAAATGTTAAATCATCTAATAAAGACATTTTCCTTTGAACGATCTGTTTGTAGTCTGCTCTGACTGGTAGATCCAATGTAACCCCACTAAAATGCACAACGGATGTAGTCTAAGCCCTTAGAATTATTGCCCTATCCACTTACTAAACGTCCTACCTAAATGCTGTGCTGGTGCCCCTCCTGGTGAGTGAGGGCCAGCCTGGCATTTCCAGGCCCCCAGCTCACTGAGAGCTTCTTTATCAATATGTGCAGGGGCAGCTCATGAACAACAGCTACAATTATCTGCTGTCCTTATGTTGAGCTTTTCTCAACTTTTCATTCTGTGGATTGAAACCAGTTTGGGGATTTAGCTGCTTATACTCAAAATAGATCCTTGTAATGAACCAGTCCCTTATACTGCCTTCAAAGTTAAGTCCGTCAGTACAGTTTTTCGAAAACACACACAATTTTCTTTCTTTAGTCAGAGAGCTGTGCCAAATGGAACGTTTTTACACCCTTTGTTTAAAATATATGCTGATTTATGGCCCTTTCTGATCCTTGCAAAGCATGCCTGCACTCTCACCGACTCACCCTTCCTCCTGCAGTGAACAGACCGGGCAGTGCTTGCTCTCCTGCAAGGGGTGAGCTCAGGTGACCGGGGAGCAGGTGCGGGGCATTTACCTCTCTACCTTCAGACAGAACGCCTTGCAATCAATTATTCCTAAGCTCAGATGCTTTTGGCATATGCTGTTGAAAATGTAATTTATCTTAAAAAATGCAATTTATCTATTTATAATCTAGATAGCAGGTGAGCTCATTCAATTTCTCAGAGGTTCATTTCACAACCAGTTTTTACGGGAGGGTCAAAGGAAACAGTGCTGTTTAAAATGACATGTGTCACAGATGTGTTGGGATTTTTCTGCAGATAACATAAGTGTTTGCCAACTATTACTCTGGATTTTTCTTCACTGTGCTCTCTGGTGGGAATCTTGAGGGTTACCCTTGTGTATTTCTTTTCTGGAAAAGTCTTAGAACTATTTTGTAAAGAGACTCTTGGCCCTGCCCACACACTGGGTGCCCCTCAGTACCTTTTATTCTTTTTCCCTTTATCAAATATTTTTAAACATCTACCATGCACTAGGCACTGAGCTTGGCACAAGGATACAATGGAGAACAAAAGTGGCACTGTTTCCTTCCCTTCATTAACCTTACTCATTGGAGTAAGAGTCTTAGGTTAGGCTCAGTTTTTATTAGAAGATTCAAGCCTTATTGTCCTACTTGTCTGGTTTTGGATTCATGAGGACCCGCCTTTTACAACATAGAATCCACATCTAACCTCATTCCATATGGCCCTGCTGCTCCAAAGGGTATTTCAGATCTATCCCTCTAACCCTGAGACCTTAAGGTCTAAACATTATCAGTGGTTTCTAAACTTTCTTTAAGAGACCCCTTTATTTTTTTCAAAAGAAAATTGACTTTGAAACCAAGTATGTTAAATAGACTATTATGAAGCTACTCATTTGCTATCTAAAAAATAAGGTGGGCTGTTCACTGCCTCCCTGACTCTCCTACTTTCTGCAGAGCCCTGGGGGTTGCTGGGAAACCGCTGCCCGTGACAAGCTGCTTTACCTTGTGAAGTTGCCCTGGAGCTCCGCCTCCTGGGATGGCAGTACCAGGCTGAGAACCAATTTGGCCCTCAAGCTTGTCCCGGGAGTTTTTCTGTATATTTTTAAATGGGTTGCTTACCATTCTCAGAATCAATGGGCAAAATCACACATGCTCACGTCCATCTGGCGGTCTGTATCGTGTCCCAGGCTAATGCAAAGTGATAGAAATTGGGACTCAACTTAGGAAGGACAGGCATGCAGGGTGGCGCTGTCGCAACAGGCTTTCCAGCTCTTAAGAGTTCTCAACTTCTTTTCTGTGCTTGTGCGAGGGATGTCCATTTAGCAGAACTGACGGGTTCTTACTCTGCAGTCAAGGGAAAAGAAAACACTAGATAAGCATGTGAATTCTCTGGTATTTGCAAAGAGGGATGCAAAGAGAGTGTCCTGGGAACATGTTGCAGAGAATAAAAATGAGGTGTCTGGTCCAGTGTATTTCAGGAGAGAGAAGAGTAGGGACAGGGAGGAGTAGGGGGAGAGAGAGACCAAGGGAGAGGCAAAGAATATGAGACAGGTTTCTAATTCAGACCTGCAGAATAACTTTACCATCTGCCGAAAGAGTCCGCATGACGCAAAATTCTGCCATTTCGCTACCTTTTCACACCCCCACACTGTTGCCATTTCATTGCCGGGAAAGGGTTTCTAGAACTGGAAGGTTTTAAAAAGCTGTTGGTGAAAGAATTGCTTTATATACCACCACCTATGCCCCAAATCCTTCTTGGAATTTGGAGGGGGAGAGGGCAGGCAGTTTTGCTTTTGTCTGTTTTTTAAGAATATTCTTCTTCTGAATAAAAAGCAATGTATCTGACAATACCAAATGGCAGTAAGGATACAGATACCTAGATGTCTTACACACTGCTGGTGGGAATATATATTGATTTGTGCAAACTCTTTGGAAAAATAGTTTGACACTATCTTTTGAAGTTAAACTTTCACAAACCCTATGACAGACCTTTCCACTCTAAGGTTTATATCCAAGATAAATTGCTATATTACAGGGAAGTGCATGGGAAGACACATAGAGGAATGCTCACAGTAGCACTGTTCATAACAGGGAAAGTCTGGACATCGGTTAAATACAGAATAAACAGTAATATATTCACATGGTGGAATGTTTTATATAGCCATCAAAATAAAAGAGCTCCAGTGGCATGCATCAGTATGGCTGAATCTTAGCAATAAAATATTAACTGCAAAAAGTCCTAGAAGAAAATATATAGGATGCTACCCTCTTTAAAAAGTTAAAGCCACAAAATAAAAAATGTATGCTGTTTTAGGGTTATATGTCAACTAGATATAATGCTATTATTAGAAAAGCAAGGGAATTATGAGATTTGGGAAGGTGGTTATCTTGGGTAGAGAAAAGTGGTGAATGGGATAGGAGAGGATTCATACCTATATGTAAGTTTCTGTTCGAGTCCTAGCTTTTATACTGAGCATTGGGTTTATGTGTACTTAATGCGTTATAATAAATAAATCAGTAAAAATGACTATGCATAGACCAATAAGGAGAGTATTTACTGAACTGAGGATCATGATGAACCCAAATTCAGAGTGTGTCTGAGCTCCACAGAGAAAACTGAAAGCAAAAATTATGCATTCATTGTGAACAAGAAAATAAAATAAAACAATCCTGACACAGAAATTATTACCAAAATATTAGTGAGTTAAATTCAGCAATATATAAAAAGATTAATACATCATTACCATGTGCATTTTATCCCAGGAATATAAGTTTGGTTTAATACTTAAAAATCAATCAATGTAATTCACAATAACAGTATATAGGAGAAAAACCACACAAGCATTTTAACAGATGCATAAAAAACATTTGACAAAATTCAGTAGCTATTCATAATAAAATTCTCAGCAAATTAGGATGGAAGGAGGTTACTCAATCTGAAAAAGGACATCTCTGAAAAACATACAGCTAACATCACACATAATAATGTAATATGAATACTTTCTCATTTAATGAATAAGGCAAGAATGTCTACTTTCACTTTCTGCATTCAACATTATACCAGAGGACCTAGGTACTTATAAGTGGCCAAAAAGTGAAATAAAGGGGTTGATATTGAAAAAGAAAAATAAAATTGTTATTTTCTCACAGACAGCACGATTGTTTACACAGAAAATACTTTGGAATCTATAAAAAGTTTACTAGGACAAATATGTGACTCTGACAAGGTTGTAGAACATAACGTTAATATATAAAAATAAATTATTTATCTACATATTAGCACCAAAAAATAAAATTTAAAGTAGAAAATTATAATAAAAATTTTAAACAATTCCATATTATCATAAATACAGAATACTTAAGAATAAATTTAACAAAAGCAAAAAAGTCTACATTGAAAAACCAGAAAATATTGGTGAGAGAAATTTAAGACTTAATTAAATGGATGGACATACCATATTCACAGAGTGGTGGCTCAACATTGTTAAAAATGTCCATTCACCCCAATTTTGATCTCTAGATTCAATGCAATCTCAATCCAAACTCATCAGACTCTTTTGAAGTATTTGCCAAGCTATTCTAAAATTAAAGGCGAAATGCAAAGGACCTAGAATAGTCAGAACAATCTTCGAAAATAACAAAATTGGACGACCCACACTACCTGATTTTAACACTTACCAGAAAGCTACAGCCAAAAAGAGGAAGTGAAATTTGCATAATTGCCGTGAGAACCTACTAATATGATGTCGCTGTATAAATATTGTTTAAGACCTTTTCAATGCAGTTGATCATTTCTTACCTCAGGATAAGAACAGGCTATCTCCAGAGGTAATAGCATAATACAGCATTTTCCAAAGTGAAACTCAGATACCACTGGTGTGAAGATGATTTACACAGACAAATATGTTTATATTTTTTAATAATTGTTATTTAAAGATTATCACATGCTTAAAGTTACAAAGAACCTGTTTGTCTATTAAAGATGGTCATAGAAAGTTTCCTTTTGAAATAAGTTGAAGTTTTAAAAATGCAATAGACATGTGGACTAGAGTAGGAATGCCAGCACCTCGTTACAGAATTAGGTAGACTTAACCCACCCAGAACTGGCGGAGCCAGAGAACTCAGGCTTCCCACATTCATATACCCTGTCCACTCGTAGATTCAGAGTCCTTTTACTACACAGTAGAAAGCAGATCACGAAGCATGTTCTCTGCAGACAGGTTGGGTCCCAACTCACCAATCTGGTAACTAAGAACTGGAAAGGCAGACCAGGGTGTTCCTTAGGGAGGACCTTCCCCATGGAAACACGAGGAATAGGAAACAAGTGTGTCCTTCCCCATCACATGCGTGTACACACACACACACACACACACACACACACACACACACACACACACATCCTCAGTGTCATAGCCCTCCCCATGTCACCACCTCCCCCAGCATTCCCAGATTCAGATGTTGTCACTGTGTCTATAGAGACTGAATGTAGCGGCTGCCACCACTCTCCTGCAAACAGATCCCAAGTGATCTTTCCTTGAATTCAAAGCTCCAGTTCATAGAATTTAATCTAGGATCTTGCCTCATGGCTGCAAGAGAGGCTGCCAAACAAGAGTGTATCTGATAGCTTTTATTTCTACAGTGGCAGCCCCCTGGTCAGTGTGGTGGGGCCCACTCAAGAGAAAATGGAGAAACCCTGTTGGGCAGGTGAAACCAGTGCTCTGTAGAGGAGAAAACGAAGTCTCTGAGAAGTCAGGTAACTTGCCACAGTCACAGAACAAGCAAGGGATTCTGCATTTACAAGATCAAATAGTTACTAAGCCAATTCTGGGAACTAGGGGCCTTAGGAAGGCATTTTGGTTCTTGTATGTGATAGAGAAAATTCTTAAAAAACAAAACAAAACAAAAATGACTCAGCCTGTAAGAAGCAAGAAAGAATGAAGTTCTAACCTGAATCTTTAAGGCTCTGTTTTGGCCCGAGGCTACAGCAGAGAGACGCTTCTCCCTACTTTTACTAGGGAGTTAAATTGTGCAATGTGCTTTTTTGCCAGTGAGTTTAGAATTCCCAGGAAAGTAGGTTTGGGATTTTCTTTCCTTGTAAAGGAAATTGCCTTTAATTAATCAGAGTAATTGCCTGTTCTGTTTCTTTTCTTTTCTCTTTTTTAGAGTCCCTTCCACCATGCCAGAGGGCTCTTTGACAACTTTAGACTCTTTCTCTGAGTTAGCGATTGTGCAAAGACCCAGGCCTGCAGCCCAGCCTCCGGCAGGGGGCCACCACCCTCTGCTCTCTCTAACACACCTTTCACATTGTGCATGTTCTTCCCTGTAATACAGCTGCTTGGGCTGTCACCTTGCCTGTTTCTGCCAGGGTTGGTAGGAAGCAGCTTTAGGGACTGTGTTGGACACCCATGAGCATCCCCATGCGGCAGCCCTGCTCCTGCGGATTCTGGATAGAAACTACACTGGGGAACAAAAGTCCACTGCCTCAGGACTGTATCCACCTCCTTTCATTCAGAGATTCAGCTTATTACTCTGGTCTCCAATCACATGAGATCTATATAAACAATGCAGGCTGTTCCTTTATTGTTTCTTCCCCAAATACCTGGCTTTTGAAAGCTTATTGTTTCAAGAGGTCTTTTCTGCTCTCGTTTGAGAGATTGACATGATCAGATCTATTTCCGCTGGGGGGCGTTCTCTCTTTGCATTTGGACCCATCAGCAGTCAAAAGACTTATGACTCAACCAGAGCCGCCACTGGTGATGACAGAATTGTTTAACACAGTTGGAATTTGTAGATGAAGCTCAAGGATGGAAACAGTGGCGGGGCAGGGGGTGGTGGCAGAAGTGAGAGGACACACGGGTGGCGGGGGACTTGAAAGCATATTTACATAGCACTTTTTTTGTGAGTGTGGCTCTGAGTCAACTGCTTTGAACACAGCCATCCTTTGAGATAGGTTCTATGATGAGCCCCCACTTTACAGATGAGGAAGCTGAGAGACCCCATTCAAGGCCACACAGAGCAAGGGGTCTAGCTGGGATTCTAATCTCAGCAGTCTGGCTCCAAAGTCTGTACTCTCAACTTCCACACTGTACACAATAAAGGTCGAGAAAAATCCAGCCTCCCCCAGCTGCCCTTGGTGTCACCCCTAGAATCCTCCAAGAGACTTCTCTCTTGCTGTCCAGTATCTCCCAGCCCCTGCTTTATTTAGCCAGAGTGTGTTTCTTTGAATTATGAGCCTCAACTCCTAAGTTTTCTCATCAGTAAAATAGGAATGATAATGGTACCAGTTTTATCTAGTTTTGTAAGTTCTAAGCATATGGTAAACATCCAATAAGTGATCATTATTTTTACAAGCTATTAGAGAATTGAATAGAGGTTTATAAAAGGCTTAAAATGAGATGTCTCTAGCTTCATTAGTCCAGAAATCTCCATACTGCCTTAACAATAGAGGTAAACAGGGAGTTTATCATTGCAGCTCTGTATTCTGCAACTCAGAATTTCAAATTTAGAAAGTTCAGATTCACTGATTCAGCTCTGAAGAGAGCCATTTCTTCCAACACCACAAAGCATACTTGGGAACCCTCGGGTATGAGACCCACAGGAGCACCCACCCAGCAAAGGATCTGGGTCTTGGTCTCCCCATTTGAGCTCTGCCCACACATGTTAATTCAGATGAATCACAGGACAAAAGAAAGTACACAGTGTATTCTTTCATTAATGGGTTTATTCATCAGGAAAGGAAGAGAAGAATAAATGTTGCCAATGAGAATAGCCAGTTTTCAGGAAATTCAAAGACATTTTTGCTTGAATGTGCTAGAAGTTTAAATAACGAACAGTAAATTATCTAAGTCAGTAATTTTTAAACTGTGTTCAGCGGAGCCCTGCAGTTTTGCAAAGGCGCCTCAGGGGCAGCTCTAAAGTTAGTAATTATCTCTCTGGCTGAATGTTAACTTGCCAAGTACTGGATGTACAGATGCTATAAAGCATAGGAAGGCCTTTGAAACAGATGCACCAGAACCTTCATGCTTCCTAAAGGCATAATCAGTCCTGGGTATGTTTGATCTTGGTCAAGTCACTTCCCACCTCTGGCCTCTGTTTTCTTTTCTGTCCAATGAGGAGAGTCAGTGATGTTATGACCACCAAAATCTTTTGGCTCTAAGACTCCGAGACCACTCCATGATCTGTGTTCTTTTCAATGTCTATATACAACAAAAATATATATTTTTAGGATTATCATCATACAACAGTGTTTAACAAAGATATGTCAGTTCTGATATTTCTCAGTGATTGCAAATCCTAGTTCTTTCAGGATAAATGTGATTTTTTTTTTTGGAAAGTGACAAAAAACCGTTTGCTTGCTCAGAGCCAGCTATTTCACTCAGTTCACTCCTGTACTGTTTAGTGAGAACTTTTCAAGGACCGGATCCTATTGTATGTGAGACTAAGACGAATAGGCCAAACTTCTGTTTTCTCAAGGAGCTCCCAGGCTGGTGATGAGTTGGAGAAACTCACTTGTGTGCGTCGCTTGTGTGGTTTGTAGGTGTCTCCTGGGTCTGGATGTTCCAACTAGGGATGATAAAATGTTTGAGCCAAAGATCAGAGGAACTGGTCACTGCCTTGGAAAGAGGGAGACCTGTCCCTCCTGTCTACCTCTTCAGAGGGGTTCTGATAAACATCCTCTGGCCAGAGACCACAAGGCTTGGCTCTGTGAGCAGTCCGTTCTCCTATTCTCACCCCTTTGGCCAGGGCTAGGTAGCTTCCGTTCCCAGATCTCTTCGGTGACTAGCTGGTTGGCAGTAGCATGATGTTCATGAGGTTCTGAAAATCAGCCTTGCTCGGCAGCCATTATACACTTGGTTCAAAAGGGGATTGTGCAGTTAGAAAGGGCAGCGTAGTGGAAATCAGATTGAGGCTTAAATCCCAGGTCCATCTTCCTGGCCCCATGGCTTTGGGCAAACCACTTAACTTTGCTGAATCTTATTTATCCTTATCTGTAAAATGAAATTACAGACATCTCACAAGGTTGCCATATAGTTAGGGACTCACCTGTACAGAGCCCCGTGGTGGTTCTTTTTATTATGAGGTCTGTGATGAGGGTAATAGTCGTCACACCACCTGCATAAGGAGCGATGCCTGCCTCAGTCCTCTCAGAGCCTTGCTGAACTTGATATTCACTGGTGAGCTGAGTAGAGGCTTACACACGTATCCTAAGCAGTTGTGTTGCTCTGACGGGGCTCCTGGAGGCAGGGAACCCCCAGGAACCAAGGAAGAAGAAGCTGGGGTGAAGCTGAGTCAGCAGTCTGGCCAGACTAAGTGACAGAGGCAAGGTTTGAACTGGATTTTGGAGAGGAACTTCCATGGCCTCTGGTCAAAGAAGGTTTCAGGGGCTAACAGTAGACTTGCAGGAAAGTGAGTAGATGAGGCATGTGTTTTCCACTGGACTACTTGATTAAACCAATAATCTATATTTGGAGAGCCGCATAATCGCCACTGGGGGTGTTAAGCTATCAGAAAATCTCAACAGCTGGAGGAGGCCTCTGGTGCACACACTAAAGCTGGAACCGGAGATCTGCGATCTCTTGAAAATGAAGAAG